ACATTTCCACTTATTCTATTGCAAAATAGCTTTTGATATAATTTCCAACATTATTGTTATTACTGCAGGCTAATATTGGCTTGTATATCAAGCCAATATTATAATAATATCAACATTGAAACTAATTCTTTTTTATTATAATGTTATTATGCTCTAAACACATATTTAATCTCACTTAATCTCATCCTTTTGACTTTTTTGTAGTAACACGTCAACAATTTGGTCAATTACACTTTTAGTTTCATAATAATGTCATAATATTTAATCTTATTACAATTGAATTTTGACACTGTCGTAGTGTTTACTTTTTTAATACCATACAATATTTTTGACTTATCAAAAGCAAGAGCAATGGGTTTCTAGGCTCAAATAAAATAAAAAACAAAATAAAATAAAATATTAAACTAAATTATGAATAAATAAAATTAGTAAACTAAATTTAAACGAAATAAAATAAAATAAATAAAAATATAATTCACAAAATGAAAAAAATAAAACAAAACAAAATACAAAAATAAAATAAATAAAAAAATATATAAAAAATTTATTAAATAAAATTAAGAAAAATTTTAAATAAAAAAATATAAAAAAACAATAAAAATGTAATAAAAATAATAAAAATAAATAAATAAAACAAACAAATATAAAAATGTAAATTATTAATAAAAAATAAAACAAAAACATAAAAAAGATAAGTTAAAAGAAAAGATAATTAAAATTAAGAAAAACTAAAGTAAATAAAATAAAGATAAATATAAAAAATAGACAAAACATAACATTAAGAAAAAAATAAAACAAACAAAAATATAAAACACAAAAAATACACATAAAATTAAGAAAACATTATAATAAATAAAATAAACAAAAATATAAAAAACAAATACAAATAAAATAAATAAATACAAATTAAATTAAATAAAAATATTTTTAAAATAAATTAAATTAAATCAAATTAATACAATGAATTGTAAAATAAAATATATAAAAAAATAAAAATAAAATTTTATTATTTAAACATATAAGTAAAAATTATATATACACATTTAAAAATGTAAAATATAAAAAAAAGCAAAATTAATCTTAAATAAAATAAGAGTGACTGTTAGAAAAATTAGCACAAGCACGATATAATTGAACATTTAAATATGCATCCTCAAACATGTCCGCATTACTGAATAAATGCTTAGTAAACACTATAAATTTCCTGTGCCTGTCAGATGTTGCCTTGTGGGGTTTGATCTCAGCGTGTGGCTGTTATTGATTGCTCTAATAACTATCACATGTCATTTGTGAAATTTCAGGAAATTCGATGTGCTAAGAAAGAGATGTGCCAAACCAATGATGTAAATGAGCTTTCAGAGGCTCTCAGTCACTGACGCAAAGACATCATGGGGTACAAATTGAATGTGCGCGAGCAACATGCTCTTATAATGCCTACCAATCACACACACGTGTGCACACACACAAAGAGAAGGAAAGAAAACCCCTCAATAACAGTTATTACAGCTATTAGAGGAAAACATGCTGCGTCTTATGCATATATATATATATATATATATATTTATTTATATATATAAGAATCTTTTTCAGCTTTAAAATATTTTTTTATGAAAGAAACAATAGCTAAAGGTTATTTCTGGATCACTAAGGATCAACAAAGAACCTTTATTTTTTGAGTGTATGATTCACAACATCACTCTTTTTTAATTAATAGAAAAACTTTATAAACAGTAGATAAACATCAATAACTCTGCAGATCTATACAGTGAAACTGGAATGCAGACATACACACACCCACCGTTTCATTACACCAGTAAAATATGCTGCTAAAGCTCTCAGACAATAGAGGTTTTCATTGATTTTAAACACTGGGTTGTTCACCTGCCTGTAAAGATTTACAAGTGAGAGATTCACCTTTTCAAACAGAACAAATCACTGCTTACAAAACTAAACGTACTGTACAAGAACACAGTCAAGAGAAATATTAAACTCCATTAAGCACATAATCTGGAAAACAAAAATATTGACAAAAGAATACATTTCACTGCACTATCCAGAAAAACACGTCAGTCACTCTTTAGTTTAAGATACGATTATTGCTATTAAATCAACCACTGACTAAGACTCTTAGCTCAATAAACTCCTAATTTGTTCTTTTTTAAGTTAGGTAGAAGCATATTACAATTACTATAGTAAATACTATGGTGCTTTTTTAAAAATAAGATATTAAAGTACTTAAATTATTATGTTGTGGTATTTTCATAGTCGCTATGGTAAGACAACTATAGTAATATAAACAAATGACCAAGTTCTCTACAACTGAATATAATTTACACTCACCGGCCACTTTATTAGGTAATGCCACTCTGTCCGCTAAGAACAGGAAACTGAGGCTACAATTCACACAGGCTCAACAAAATTGGACAATAGAAGATTGAGAAAACATTGCCTGCTCTGATTAGTCTCCATTTCTGCTGCGACATTCAGGTGATAGGTTCAGAATTAGCCATCAACAACATGAAAGCATGGATCCATCCTGCCTTGTATCAACGGTTCAGGCTGGTGGTGTAATAGTGTGGGGATATTTTCTTGGCACACTTTGGGCCCATTAGTTCCAATTGAGCATTGTGTCAACGCCACAGCCTACCTGAGTATTGTTGCTGACCATGTTCATCCCTTTATGACCACAGTGTACCCATCTTCTGATGGCTGTTTCAGCAGGCTAATGTGCCATGTCATAAACTGCAAATAATCAAAGACAAGTTTCTTGAACATGACAATGAGTTCGCTGTACTCAAATGGCCTCCACAGTCACCAGAACTCAATCCAATAGAGCACTTTTGGGATGTGATGGAACGGGAGATTCACATCATGGATGTGCAGCTGACAAATCTGCAGCAACTGCGTTATGCCATCATGTCTATGGAGCAAAATCTCTGAGAAATATATCCAGTACCTTGCTGAATCTATGCCATGAAAGATTAAGGCGGTTCTGAAGGCAAAATTTGGTCAAAACCGGAACAAGTCAGGTGTACCTAATAAAGTGGCCCGTGAGTGTACTACAACATACCACAGTTCATTGTAGTGAAAACAAAAGTATTCTACAGCATTTATTACAGTTTATCAGTTGATTATAGTTCAAAACATTGACAACTTAAAATTGTACGGCAGTTTAGGCTTTTTAAGTGAACACAACTTAAATTGAGCCAAGTGCAGACCTTAAAGTTGAATCAACTCAAAAATGCAACATAAGCAAATTTTTTTTTTTTTTTTAGAGGTTTTCATCTTTATTGATAGGACAGTGGAGATATAGAGACAGGTAAGTGTGGGAAGCAGAGCTAGGGGAAGGATCAGCAAAGGACCTCGAGACGGGAATCGAACTCGGGTCGCTGCGAGCACCTTGGTGCTATGTCTCGACGCACTAACCACTACTAGGCTATTGGCCCTGACCAACAAGAGCCATTTTAAGCTGAATCAACTTCTTCTTACAGTGTGCTTCATTATGTTGTAGCATTTATCAACAAACATTAGCAAACAATAGTGTTACACAGTTTAGGTTCATACACAGACCCGTAGCCAGCCTGGTATAAGGGGTGGTTCTTTTTCTCTAAATGTGGACCATTTATAATGTATGAGATTTAAATACTGTATTTTAGTGACAATTTAACCCCTATTTTTAGCTGGATTAGCTTGATAGATCGTCATCATAATGGCACATTTTTAAGTACCAAAATATTTCCTAAAGATTTAGAATAAAGAAAATTTAAAAAATACTTATTTAAAAATACAAATGTATTAGATCATGAATCAATAGAAAAAAATAAGAATCTGTTAAAGTTTTAAATTAAAAACTGCAGCCTATTGTAGCTTTAGCCTACGAACTGGCCAGAACATTCAACTGTCCTCAGTCAGAATTTGGCTATTTGAACAATAAAAATTTTTAAAACATAATAATAATAAAAGAGCTTCACAATTTGTCTAGTCTCTTTTGTAAAAAAAAAGTACTTTTGATTTGATTGAAAATTCATGGATAACTAAAATAGCCATATTAGTTTTTAAATTCATTTTAATATAGCATTTTGCTTAGTCTTAAAGCCTTTTTCAATGAATTAAAATCACTATTTATGATGGCATAGCAGTCAAAATAAGACAAATGTATGGGACAAATTCTGGACCTTTGACATTGAGCACTGAAAAAAATGATTCAAAGATGATTCCTTGAATTTATTAAAATCTTTTAAGTTAAGTAGTCGCAAACAATTTATTTGGGTTAAATTTAAACAAACAAATTAAGTTGAACATTACTAAACTTAATATGTTTGATTAAATTCAACCCATATAAATTATTTGCAACAATTTTGCAGACATTTTTATCAGAGAGGGGTGGGTCTTTCGAACCACCCGAACCCGCCCTGGCCTGATACACTACAGTCGGCTATTTACTTTAAACCACTATAGTATTTTTTATGCTGAAAAAAAATGTTGCATGCAGAACTGTTGCAAACAATTTATTTGTTGAATTTAAACAATCACATTAAATTTAATAATGTTCAACTTAATTTGTTAGTTTAAATTCAACCCCAATAAATTGTTTACAACCACTTAACGTAAACAAGTTAAGTCCAAGGAATCATCTTTTAATATATATTTTTTGTGTGTGTGTGTGTGTGTGAAGGTAGAGGATTAGTTATGCAGAATAATATAGTAGGCTACTTATTAGTACTAATAAACAGTTCATTACTTATTAATATGCACAGGCAGGTAATGAGCCATTAAATAGACGGAATTTACTTGAATATGCTGCCCAAATTTCTGTCGCAATCTATGAGAATGTGCATTGATCCACCACACAGCGGCTTGTATTATAGGCGGGCGCACACACGCACAGTAAACAGTAGTGTGTTTTCCAAAGGTGTATCATAAAAAGACGATATCTTTTTTTTTTTTTTTTTTTTTTTTTTACAACGCAAGGCAGTTTTATGATCTGTCATCTGCTCCTGCTGGGAACGATACTCGACGCATTAATGCACTTCAATATAATCAATGAGTTCACCATTAGGGGCTCGAGCAAGACATTTATTAGCTCACCTCAGAAAAACAGAAACTAGCATGTGTGTCTGTGACGTAGCAAGCGCTCTGGACCTGTTGCGCGCGGATGAGCAGCTCATTACTCGAGCGCTCATGGAGAGAACAGGTCCATTCCTGATGAAACGAGCTGAATAGCTCAACCGTTTTACTGAAGAAAACACTTGAACTAGATCTAGACATTTGCTGGAGTCTTGGGTACAGATTTCACTTAAATAGTTGTCGGAATGTGATTGTTTTAGCCAAACTAAGCAAAAAAAAATTATGTGCGCACGGCAGCATTACTTCTTAACGTGAAGTCTTTAGACTGGAACTGAGGATGAAGTGATGTCCAGACTTTCGATTTTGGATTTAAGTCAAAGAGACTTTCAGTCATCAAATATCACTATTGTTCACTGAAAAGGAGACGAGTAGCTTGTGGAAGAGCTCCTGGCACCCAGAGGACCGTGCACTGAGTTTGAGGTACGGATTGAATTAAGCACGGTAATAATGTACAATTGAGGGAATCATTTTCCATCTTAATTCTGCAGATGATGGTCACTCACGCTGATTTCAACCAGATATCATGTTTTTTAAAAAGTTTTCGAAAAGTTTTAGCTATTGCATTGTTCTAAAATAGGACAAATATATGGTGTAATGATGGTAATATGGGACATCCCTCTCTTACCATCTAAAATCTTTAGTTTAAAAGGTAAAACAGAACTCATTTTATTTGTTTACCGTGGTGGTTAATTAACATCAAACGCTCTACAACAAAAAGAATTTGACCCAATTTGGGAAAATCAACCCAACGGTTGGGTTAAAAAATTTCAATTAAAATCAATGCAGTGGTTTAGTTGTTCTGTGTTTTTATAGACGACAACATCATAACCTCAGCGATTCTAGTTTCAGAATAGTCTGACTGAATAATAGTCTGGATGTGTTGTCAGACAGAAGACAAAACAAGCTTTGTTTGAACAATTATGTACAGATCATGTATGCATAAATGGCATCAAAGTAATACGACTTATCTTACTAAATTTATGTTTCGTCTTTTATTGTTTGTGCACTCTAATTTCTAAATTATGGGTTGTCATAAATCAATGAGGAGTCGAATATGTACAAACTCAACGTTGGGTTATTTTTTCCCTGATTTGTCGATAATTTTTTAATCCACCAGTTGGGTGCATATTTGACCGTACGTTGGGTTAAAATAATTTAGTTTTTTTAGTGTGTGTGTTTCTGAGACCATAAAGTCTCCATTCGCAGTTAAATCATATATTTTATAGGTCTACACTGTGTGAAAACGTCTGCATTATTACACTTAAGTTAATATTTACATTAATGTTTTGTTTTATAATTAAAGTAAGCAATGCATTGGGTTAAAATAACCGATGGTTGGAAAGGTGCTGAACTCCAAGAAAAAAAAGTTTAAAAAAAAAATAATAATAATAATAATAATAAATAAATATATCGAATAGTTTATATATAATATACATATTTATTTATTGCTCGTTCAAACTACTTTTTTGAAATGAGCTAAAATAACAATTCTTGAGATTTCATTGGGACAACTTAATTTTTTCATGAACCATACACATAAATTTGTTAAAAGTGTTAAGTTAACTTAATTTGTGTTGGCATTATTTATATGTTATACCAAAACTGCAGGGTTATTTTTATATCATTTATAGGTTGGGGTATTCTTAACCCAACTTTTACAGTGTACATTTTACAAAAATAAAAATGCTAATTTGATGTAACCTGACGTTGGGTCTAATATGGGACATACCAACGCAATCTTACAGCAGTTCGCACCTATTTGATTTAGTGGCTAATTCGGGTTCTAATTCATACAATTTAGTACGATTTGCTCATAAACCAATGATGGTTGGGGTTAGGGGTGGGGTTGGGTGCCACGCCTCCTTTTAAAATCGTACATTTTTGGACTGAACTCGTACGAATTAGCCACGAATATGGCAAAACGTAAAATACATACGTTTCCTCGTGACCCAATCCTTGGGTCAAGAAATATAATTAAAAACTTTAAAAAAGTAATCCAAGGATGTGTTTGTCCATAATTATCCAACGAAAGGTTATGAAAACCCAGCGATTTTAGAATGTACATTATTATAATTCCTTCAAGACCCATACATGATCACATAATAGAGTAAATGTGGAGCTAGTGCTTCTTTCCATACTGATAAACTTCCGGTGAACGGTTAATGTGACTTTTTTTTCCATTTTATAAGGTTTCTTTTAGAGCACCGATATTGTAATTGTATTGTAATGTAACAAAAATACAATCACTTGAATAGATGTAAGCATTTATTCAGTTGCTCAAGCGACAAAAAAAAAGCTGTTTACTCGCACACGCCCATCAGAATCGGCAGGTTAGCGCAGAAGCTCCATTGAATATACTGAGGTTAAATAAATGTTCAAATTTTAAAAACATGGCAGGAAAAATGTAATTTAATGCAGTGCTTCTTGTACAATCTGAGACCCACTTTATATCGGATATCCCACAGCCAGAGTTCGCTGATTTAAAAAAAAAACCAGACTTTAAATGCGCCTATTTTGCAATTGCAAACAGTTCACCAGAAGCACTTAACTCAGGTTACTGACAAATTAAAAGTCCTTTAGCATACTTCTGCATATACCCTATTTAGGTAATCTACTGAATTTCTCCAGTAATACTTATAATGATCCATTTGATGCTAGCTAAGCCATATATTAAAAAACATATTTTTTTCATATTACTTTACAGTAATGGCATTTTATTGTAGTTTATTTTTTACATTATATGCAATATATATATATATATATATATATATATATATATATATATATATATATATATATATATATATATATACATATATATATATATATATATATATATATATATATATATATATATATACATACAATATCAATACTGTATAGTGTTTTTGTTGACATATTGCTTGATCACCAATCAAAAACAAAAAAAAAATCAATTTTATCATTCATAAATGCTATATTAATATCACCCTGATGCACAAAGGGATGCTGCACATCTCAGATGAACCATAAACTGAGCAAGAGAGAACAGGGGCTCGTGATTAAATAAGCAGTCTTGCGCATCTGACACCTGTCATTATAAGCAATGGAAATCATAAGTGAACATGTCGGCACATCAACACGCTCTTCAGTCACGGTCACGCGCTGGGTTATTAGAGCGCGCGACCGAGAAGGCGGGTTAAATATTGACCGCTGCGGACGGTTCAAATGAATGAGTGTCCGCTGGACTGTTTGTACTCATAACAGTGGCATCGTTACCCTTTGTTTCGATTCATGCTTCAGCGCATTTCTGAGGCACAGCTTTATTTGTGCAACACATTGTGTCGCTCACTTTCCACGCCTCATATCCAGCGCGAGTGCCACTTAAAGTCAAGGTCGTGTCAAACATCCAGAGAGTAAACAACGCTCACATACCTCATATCTAGGATGATTTATTATTACTTTATTAAATAAAGGGTTAAAAAGTAACTATTTATAGTACTTAGGTAATCTCTAATCTAAACAAACCTAATCAGTTGTCCAAGAGACTAAATGCAGCCACTTAAATTTACTATATAATGCGAGTATATGAGGTTTTGACATTGATTTCACCAAGTAGGACATGCTCCTGGATTAACATCTGTGTTGTTCCTGGAATCCAATCAGCCAATCAAAATTAAGGGATACATTGTTTATGTTAGGTTTAGGCTTATTGATGAACAATGGGAGATAGCCCTTGAACAGATCCACAGATCATCAGTATGTGCAAGGCATGGCCTCAAGTCAAAGCGAGACATCATCTACAGTACATTGGTCCAAGCAAAAACTTAGAAAGATATTTCTGGAATTGGACGGTAAAGTCTAGATCGGACACATGGCCAGCCGGAGGGCCGATATGTACATCAATTATAGTAGCATTTTTATGACACAGTATAACAATAATTATTTTATTATATTTGATATACAATAATATTTTTACAGTGCTGTGACGGGTGGGTTTAGGGTTGGGTTAGAGATTAAAAAATACAACTTATTGGGTAATTTAATAGATAACATTAATAACACTCGGAAAAACTACTGCTTTTACACAACTGTGATGGTTGGGTTTAGGGTTGGGATGGGGGCCGACGTTAATAAATTACAATAAATAGGAAATTTGATAAATAAAATAAATAATTCTTTTTAACTTCCGGCCGCGACCATATCTGATCTAGCAACAATTGAAGTGGACCCCGCATGTGATCGATGTGGATCAGAGCCGACATCACTGGATGTGTTTTGGAGCTGCTCAAAATAATCATCTTAATGGGAAAATATTTTTCTAACATTCTCAACAATATGTCATAAGCTGATAGATCCAGATCCCCTTGTTGCAGTTCTAGGCATTACTGATTTTTTAGATGGCTAAAAATAGTACAGAACAAAATATAGTTCATTTGTCAATCTATTATCACGGAGGTAAATATTACAAAACTGGAAACAGAAAGCTGCTCCTATATATACAATTGAAGTCAGAATTATTCGCCCCCTGTTTATTTCTCTCCACAATTTCTGTTTAACGGAGAGCAGATTTTTTTCAGCAGATTTCTAACCATAATAGTTTTAATAATTCATCTTTAATAACTGATTTATTTTTTTGCCATGATGACAGTAAATAATATTTCACTAGATATTTTTCAAGACACTTCTATACAGCTTTAAGTAACTTTTTAAAGGCTTAACTAGGTTACTGAAGTTAACTAGGCAGGTTAGGGTAATTAGGCAAGTTATTGTATAATGATGGTTTGTTCTCAAGACTATCAAAAATATAGCTTAAAGGGGCTAATAATATTGACCTTAAAATGGCTTTAAAAAAATTAATAACTGCTTTTAATCTTGCTAAAATAAAACAATTCAGATTTTGTCAAGAAAACAAAGCTCTGTTAAACATAATTTGTGAAATATTTAAAAACGAAAAAAAACAAGTATATACATGCATCTAATGAGAGATGTAATGAAACATTTGGAATTGTAGAAATTCAGATACACCCTAAAAATAAAAAAGAAAGAAGACAATTCCCATCAAATCTGGCAACCTTTCATAGATTATTTTAGACATAAATTCCGCAGGAAATTCAAATTGAAGAGGATCAGACTAACTTGGATTAAAACTGAAGACCAGTATTTTATTTCAATTTTATTATTGACTTACTGTATCGTATTTATGTACTATTATTATTTTACTTATGTATTGTTAGTATTTGGTATCTTTTGCTGTCAATTGTTGTGTAAATGTTTGTAGGTTGGAATTTGTAAGTCATTGTATTTGAATGTAAAAAAATGTTCATAAAAAAGTTTAGGCTTATTGTTAGGTTTATGTACGTCTACATAATTGTTATCCAACTATTATTATAGATCTAGATACTGATATTCAATAGTAAGTAATTTTAGGATTTTCTGTA